ACAAAGCGTAGCCGGCGGCTCAAGGATGCCAACTGTTCAGACCATACCTGATGTACCTGATTCGCAAAGCTATGAAAGTTTGGTCACGATACCATCAGAGTCAACGCTAAGCACAATTAAATCAAATGAAGACTTCACGATGCCTGTAGACGTCGAAATATTCAACCGAGGAATAGCAGCTATTCGTGTTTCGCCTATAGATTTAGGTAAGGTTAAAAATGTTCACTATCCTGAAAAAAAGTGCGCTGAAATCGTCGAAGGTGTACGAAGAAATCTTTTTAAATTAGACGCTAAAACAGAAAAAGCAAACGAGTTTGATGAAGTCATAGAAAATATGAAAATTAAATTTTTAAATTCAGCCACAAGGCAAGAAAAACTATCAATTTTATCATTGTTGCCAAAATCATGGTCAGTACAAAAAATTGTAGACGAATTTAAAACCAGTAGAAATATGGCATCAGATGCAAGAAAGGAAAGAGATAATGTATTTGATTCATCTCAAGGTTCAAGCTCTGGAAAAGCTTTGAGTAATGAAACAAAAGAACTGGTTTTGAATTTTTTTGAGGACGATGATATAAGCCGTGCAATGCCAGGCCAAAGAGATTTTGTTAGCGTAAAGACAGGAAATAAGAGATTAGCTGTTCAGAAAAGATTGTTAATGATGACATTGAAAGAAGCTTTTAATCGCTTTAATGAAATGTACGTCAATGTAAAAATAGGGTTTTCATCATTTGCAAGCCTCCGGCCAAGGCAATGTAAACTATTGACTATCACAGTAACACATAATGTTTGCGTTTGCACTACGCATGAAAATGTCAATTTAATTCTACATAGCTTAAAAAATACAATGTCTTGAATGATCTAAAAACATTAACGAATAGATTACTTTGCGAAAATAAGACAACTCATTGCCATCTACGAAGATGTAAAAACTGCCCAGATACCTCAGTTTTAGAAGACAGTTTATTGAAACAACTGGAAGAAAACTTTGTTGAAAAGCTTTCATTCGAACAATGGGTTACCACTGACAGATGTGATTTAGAAACTATTGTAAAGCAAACCGATGAGTTTGTTTCATTTTTCAGCTCAAAATTAGAAAGTTTGATTCCGCATGATTTTGTAAAAACCGAACAATCCAATTTTTTGAAAACTACAAAACAAAACTTGCAAGATGGTGAATTTTTAGCTATTTGTGACTTTTCTGAAAATAACAGCTTCGTTTTGCAGGATGAAGTTCAATCACACCATTGGAACGTGCAACAGGCCACAATCCATCCTTTCGTAATATATTATACTGAAAATATGCAAATTAAACATTTTAGCTTCATTATAATTTCTGAAGAACTAAGACATGATTCAGTCGCTGTCAATTTGTTTATTGATAAAATGATAAACTTTTTACAAATTGATCAAAATAAAAACATAAAAAAAAATTATTTTATGTCAGATGGTGCTGCTTCACAGTATAAAAACCGAAAAAACTTTTCTAGCCTTTGTAAATTTAAGTCAAAGTATGGTATTGACGCTGAATGGCATTTCTTCGCAACATCGCACGGAAAAGGTCCATGCGATGCTATTGGAGGTACGATAAAACGCATGGCTACCAGAGCAAGTTTAGCCAAAGAACGCGAACACCCGATAAAGACTGCAAGAGAGTTGTTTAATTGGGCAAACAAACGAAAAGAAGAAGAACTTACAAAGTTGTCATTTTGTTATTCTACTACAGAAGAATACGAAAATATGTCTTTGCAGCTAAATAATCAATATAATAATGCAAAAACAATTCAAGGAACTCTAAAATTCCACTCATTTCTCCCTCTATCAGAAAATACAATAAAGGCAAAGCTTTATTCAAACTGTTCTGACAATGATGCCAAAATATTCAATATTGTTAAGAAAGTTGTGTAAACAATAATTTTATAAAAATACAGGAATAAAAATAAACTGATGATATCCAACATATAATGTTATTTTTTATTGCACACAATCACCATCCCTGAAAAATAAGCTTAATTCGCTCTTTTGAATCTTGCTAATTGAGGAGCTTACATTTGCAGTTCTCAAAAAGGTGTATCTCGAAATCGAGTTGTCTCATCGGTTTGATGTCTGTGGCGATGTTCGGCAATAGAGAGAAAATATGCACAGTATAAACACATCCAGTTTAAATGGATTAAACTGTTAGGCGATATGCAAGAGTTGAATGCACATTTTCAGCACAACGCACCAAAAATCACTTGAAGAAATCATTGTTCCTGATAGTGGGATTTTGTAACTTGTTTTTCAAAATACTTTTAAGGCAGAGAATTTCACTCGAATCTTTAAGCTGTCAGTGTCATTTTAACTCAAAATTTTCCAATCTTTCCGAAAAAAATACTTTTGAAACTGAAAAAACACGTAGTACATCCGAAAAGGGCCAAAACTTATTAAGTTATCAAAAAAAAAACAATATTAAATCAGTAATATCTTCTAAACGGTGCATCTTAGAAAAATGTTACCGAAGTACTTTTTGTTTGCAAATTTGATGTACTTTCATAAAATTAGGGTGACAAACTTTTTTGACTTTTCTTAATAGCTTTTTTGAAAATTGTATTTTTTTAAAAAACAATTTTTTTCATTGTAACCTATTTTTCTCCAGAACAACCTACTGTGCACTAGATAGCATTTTCAGTCAGCTATAACATAAGGATAATAAAAAAAATATTGACATGTCACTTTAAAGGGAAAATTTATATTTTAGTTCAAAACACAAATACCAAACTTTTTTTTTACCGTGCATATTTTCTCCATATAACACCAACAATTGTCTAAAACTTCGCCCAAGACACCAAACCAATCGGACAAACCGTTTCCGAGATACAATTTTTTGAAGATATCATGTGCATTTTTCATAGGCCCTTCTCATAAGTAAGGCTAGATTCAAAATGGCGAACCAAGTATGCAAAACGGCGTTTTTCTTCCCCAAAAACTTGTATGCAAGGTTTCATGCAAATCAAAAAAGATGAAAATTACTCGTTGCTTTAATGATATGGAACCGCTCTGCTGCACATCAAGGATGTGAAACAAACAATAAAGCGGCCAGGCCTACTGTGTAGCGTTTAGTTAATTTTTGTGGAAGCGAATGTTTACCATGTCTACTTAATAAGTATAGACAGTGGTTAACATTTAATTCACAGGTAATCAAAGAGCGGGGACATACCGTACCAACCGCTCCGTATGCAGGATTTGAAAATAGGCTATATAAATCGTTGGGAGTGACAGAGCTAAGAAAGTTAATGTACACTCCTTGGTTGTCCGATCTCCTGGGATGGAACACAGGTATTTACCCCTTGTGTTCGAGTGTACAGTCCTCCCTCCGTACAAGCGTGGACGGCACCGCCCACCTACTGCCATCCCTCAATAAAGCTATTTTGTGATTATATGGTTACTTTCTTATTCACATGAAATGTTGTGCAAGTACCAGATGTTCAACAACGCCCAACTATGGACAGCTCAATGTTAATACCATTTACTCTTTGAATCAGCTTACACCAACAAGATAATCTACTAAGAAACATCTAAGATACAGTTTTAACTGATGGTACTTTATAAACGTCAAACCACAGACAAACAGACGTAACTCTTTGAAAAAGTTTTTCTTGAAAACATAGCATCTCAAAACATAGGACCTCAGTAACGACATCTCTCGGGCTTCTCGCGGAAAACAATCTTGCTCCCTAACTCGCAAACAATATTGCATGAAAGTTCAATAGAATGTATAGAAACGTCAAAGTGATCCGATGCCAGCGCTACGGCGAGTAGTTCGCGGAACTGATATTATTCATATCAACCGTTAAATGCGTGAACGAAGATACACAATGAAGAGTTACGTCTGTTTGTCTGTGGTCAAACTGTCCAATATTGGACCCTGCCAACACACGGCGCCTGCACGGCAATGTGGGCCATCGGTTGCGAAGTGAAGTGCTTCTTAAACTGAAGCGATACATTTCTCAATGTTTCAACGTTATCCTAACGTAAACTTAATATTATCACCCATATGCCTGTCCACGCCCGAAACCCATCCACCACACAAAATCAAATAAAAATGTTTCTGTATGCCAAACACGTCCAGACATAAACGAGAATATGGTGTATATCTTCACTGTAACAACTACGGGTAATCATCGAAAATACTTGCATTTTACTCAGGCACTTTTGAGCAAACTGCAATCTCTCATACTCGAAATGTGCCACGACCAAATTGGCACAACGACGCCCTATACGCTCTCTGACCAAAGCGCAGGGTGATGCATGGTCATTATCGATGTCATACCTTAATTTTGTTGCTAAGGAATCCAATTTTGATTGACAAAGGGGCACGCCTTTGGAGGGTGTTTCAACACTCCGAAGGGTATAAATAGCGGGACCTTTCAATTAGAGTCGGATCCTTGTGATAAATGCAAGAGTGGCAACAGTAAAAAAATCGAATACTTCATCATTTCTCAATAGTGATGAAGTAATACGACATGCACTAAACTAAGGACACGGGATATACTACAATAGATCAATTTACTGGTCGCAGTAGTGTTAGGTTCCGAACAAAGAAAAAAAAATAATGTCAAAAGAAAGCATGGGCGGGATCCCTACGTTGTGTTGTTGATCGTAGTACAGAGATGTAACGAAATAAAACACACGGATTGCTTGACCGTCCTGCCATGGCGGAGGTATAAAATATACTGTATTGTTTTCCATATTTCTTACTATGATATCGGTACAGTGGGTAGGGTAGGTGGGGGATGTACATATGACGTTGCACAAACAGCCCTTATCCACCCAAACAACTTTGCTGAAGACACCATACCTCTTATTGCATGGGTGGAGCGCTTCAGGTTTTGTCCAACTAAAGTAGATTCTGCCCCAGTGTGCGTCATTTACAACCCTGATACCAATGTAGTTAAAGAAAATTCTGGCGTCATTTAATATATGTTCGATAACAGGTTGAAGAAAATATTTCAATTACATACCTTTGACCTTCTTGGAATAAAGTGAATTCTGCTTCAGTTGGTTCCAAAACTGTCAGAAGAACACACGACAATGCACAGAGTGGTTGTAAGGTTCCTAGTAACCGTACTTCATTCCAGTTACTGCGTACTTTACATATGTCGATGCAGTCGAAATATCTACAGAAAATCATATTTTAAATTTATTGTACGTAGGTACCTAAAATTATACAACTTACTTGAGCACATCCTCGAATGAAATCCAGAAAACACCTTCAGATCCTCCATGTGGCATGAGAATATCACGTAACTCGTCAGTCCATAGAGTAGAATCATCGGACCAGTCACCTAAAGGAAAGTAATATAAAATAACCATGGATTCTGTTATAGGAGACAAACTTAGAATAAAGGTACCTTGCCATGAGTAATGACCCCAAGGGTTGCGTAGCTTGAGTAGACGGTTTCCTTGAATATCTCTAACATCCAACACTGAGTATGCATGGCGTGGTCTAAGTCCTTTTCTTTGATATTCATCTTCATCTACTTTCATATTTCCACCACCACAGCTGGCCCCCATCAAAAATTTCACTAGTCTTGAACTTAGTAATTGAGCCCATATCAAGTCCCTGTCGAGATCATCTTCACTGGGTAGTGGAATGGAACTAGGCTGGAGAGGTATACTTTCGCATGGAGCGCCGGTCAGTGTTGCTAAACCTTCAATTGCTCTGCCGGATACAAGGGCTTCGTAGCAGCCGTGAATTTTAGCGACTGCTTTTTCAATAATAGGAACCCACAGTTGTTTCCGCTTTGCTTGAGAGTACACTAAATGTCCCTTCTTATCACATGGTAATAGGTCATCTACTAGAACCGTTTTCCATTTGCCATCCTTGCAAAGCCGTACTTGATACGCCCCTTGTGGACACATATCCTTGGTTACTAAAACTTCGCGTACCAAATCTTCTCTTTCAGCGAGCACGGCCAAAGCACTCAGTAGCCAGCAATTTCCCAATACGCCTTGGCAAATGTCCGAAGGGAGAGGCGTTCGAAAAACAGCCCATGGAGGAAAATTGCCTCCGTCACAACTGATTTCGTGAGGTCGCAACCATTGTACAACTGGATTAGCTTCTACATTGGATGAAGGGTTATAATACAGACTTTTTGTTGCCGGTGGAAATGAATCGTCCACGAATAGCTCGCTGTTCTCTTTACAATACTGAATAATATTAATCCATTTGCTGAGTGCTTCTGACTCCTCAATTTGCCTTAAATTTTCCATAAGTTTGCTCTCATGCTTTAAAATATCACTATTTACATTGATTGAACACGCAATATCCTTGGTGATTAATCGATGACTAGAACATATATCACAAACTACGCTGGCAGATCTATTTTCGAATGTACAAGCTGGACATTGCCAGGTTTTCTCGTTTGACCGGTTCTTATCAGCTTCTGCACTATAAATACATGTTTTAGCCATTAAACTACCTGTACTATGTCGCTTTGGTACGGCTCCTGAATTAGTTGCCTTGTCTGCCTTGGGTGAGGGGCAACGGGACAATCTTGCGACATTCGGAATTGCTAGATGATTTTGCGTTTGACCTTGAAAGAGATTTAGTGAGAAAGTTTGTTAAACTAATAAAACTATCGTTGAATGGTTCAAAACGAAGAGTATACAATAAACAGTGTGTATGAAAAATTAAATACATATGATTATGCTTGGTTATACGGAGACATATTCACAAAACCAGTATAAGGCATTTTACGAGACAGATCGAGTCAGCTGATTTTATTCTGTTTACTAATTTTGACATTTACTGGCGGGCCGAATCAATGAGCTGGATTACCGAGGTAAAGCAATCGGTTAAGTTGTGTGAGTAAAACCCCTGTACGATACAAGCAATTAGTGACGTCACTACCTGGGACGGGACTTGACAATCGAGTAGCGATGTCGAGCCAATTTGCTGTCAAATCCGAGCCAGTTTCTGATTGGTCGATTTGACAGTAGCAATCGTGGCATAAAAAGGACAAAGGGATCGCATCAATCTGGCTGGCAGTGATGCCGGAATCAATGTTGACGTCAATGGTATTGTCAATTGTTTATATTTGCAAAAGGAAAGTTGAAAAAATTAGTGCACTGCGTATTTAAAGCGATGGATATTGTGGTTTGTTTATGGTTGATTTTATTGTTTTGAGCAAAATGATGTACAAGCTGCTAAACTGCGGTAGAAACTCCAAATAAAATCCAAATTAAATAGAAAAAATATTTTACATTCCTGGCATCCTTGGTCAACTCCGTCAAACAACACGCACAAGTTTTCGAAGGGCATTCTTCAAAAACATTAAGAAGAGTGAGAAGCTCGATTGTCAAGTCCCGTCCCGGGTCACTACTTGCGTTTACGTTGATTTTTTGGATTACTAATACAACCATATTTCACGATCTGCTTCACCTCTGTCTGTACCTCCTTGGGGCCGAATATCTTCATTCGCAACTACATGGCCATCAAAAGTGACTCACGGAGTGTGTTTAGCTTGCCTACTTTTGGGTAAATCCGTGGCAAGCCCATACACTCGTGAGTTACTTTTGTTGGCCGTGTAGAGAATCAAAACAAAAATATCAGACGTAAACAATAACAATGCCACGAGCGGCCCGCCAGGAACTGTCATCAAAACGTCTCGTAAAATGGCTTATAAGGCTGTCCACGTGACAGTTGCGATCTGCTTACTTTTTTGTTTATCAAGAACTCAATTGAGAAATCCAATTGGGTAAACAATTTCCAAACCTACGACTGGATGCCTTCCTTCAAATAACAACTGAAGTGCGGTAAAAATCGGTAGAACTGTTTCAAACACACAGTTGGTACTAGAGCGGGTCGGTTTTTATCTCTTTTTGCCAGTGGTGGCGGGGGGACACCCCTCACCATCCCTCTCCAAAGGGGGAGTTTGGTAAAGAGAGATGAAAAAACCGATTTGTACCTTCCTTAAAAGTTGTCCTAGCTCGCTATTTTAATATCTATATGCAATCTTCACACTGCCGTACTCTAACGGAACTATCAACTCTATGCTTTCATCTACATCTACTCCATCTATCGTATAAAAATTACCACTACAGTCTGTTATTTGAAATTAGCATCTTCAACTAAACAAAATAATAGTTTTTTGGTTGAAATTTCAAAAATGTATTCAGTTTGACACATTACCTCGGACTTATCACCGCTGCGATTGCAGCGCCACGGTGGCCGATTGAAACTTGGATTTTCAATACTATTTTTAATGTAGTCGGTGCAGACTTCTTCAGTGTCTTGTACAGTCGATTATTATTACAAGACACTGAAGAAGTCTGCACATTGTAGACGAAATACGCGTATCTGTCAAGGATAAGCAAATAAGGTAGTGGAATTAAATGGAAATTACTAATCTTTCTCTCTCTCTCTTTATAAAGTTATGGACTTATTTTTTGAATCGGAAAAAATTGATGGAAATGTGTGATTGAAATAATGCTATGGCATGGTATTCATAAGATTATTACCTGGATTTGTTACGTTCCTAGGAGATTTGCATGCTCCACATATGTTGTCAGATAATGAATTTTTTAATGTGCATTTAACGCAAGACCAAAATTCTCCTTTTTTAAGCGTCGTTTCCTCTATACTAGAAATACTGCGCAGTTTAGATCCACCACAAGCCACACACGCTAACATGGTTGGTGTGTTCACTAAGGTACATTTTTTACATGTCCAGTCTTTGTCCTGCATTGTTGTTGCTGAAAAATACACACATGAAGATTTCGTTAGTTCCAATTGATACAGTAACCGCAATGCACCAATTGTGGCCATAATCGCATACAAGTTCCATCTTTGATTGATTTCATATTCATATGGGGCAGTTATGTGAGCATAGCATTATAGGTAGCAATAGTTGTGTTTGTCCCAGGCACCCATAAGTCGTATAACAATGCACAGATAGAATCTTTAAATACCCCAGATTTAAGCCACATCACATATAAGAATGAATTTCATCGCATAATGTTATTTTTCATCGTATAAGTGCCTTTATACGCATAAGAGTTTCACGGTGCATAAGAATTGCATATAAAATGGGACAGTTATCCCAAGTAACCAAAAGTTCTGATAAAAGGCTATTTGTGGCTTAAGCAGCTTGGTTAAAGGTGGTCTATAGAATTCTAAGCAGCCTCATTTTTAAGTCATTATAAGAACTTGAAAGTTCCGGTACAATAATTGAAGAGCATTCTAAGCAGCTTCCGGCGGAACTTAAACGGAACTTTTAGAAAATAAATTAAAAAAAGGTTTTTTGTCCTCTACACCAATTCTATATTTAGTTCACACTTCTATGAAAGTTATTTTTAAAGGCAGGTATTAATGTGTATTGATTTATCAGCATTAGTAGTAGAATTGGAGCTGTTTGAAGAATTAAACCCAGTCCTTCTGCGTGAGAGTTCCAGCACGAACCGCTACTTCATCTGAGATATATTAAAGTGAGCTGTTGCCTCGCCTACTTTTAGAGTTTTCAGTGCCAGCTGACTGACTTGAATACGAAACACAACACCTTGGATGAATTTAAATTGGTGTTTGCCTGCATGGTATTCCAAAACACTTGTGGTGCAGTGGTTAGCAATCATAGATCGCATGCCGAATACACGGGTTCGAATCCAGGAAATTTTTCTTTTTTTTTTTGTAGAATGTTGATGCACTGCATAAATATAAGAATAATGGGCTACTGATCATTTCATATTTACGTACATTAAATTTTGTTACTAATAAAGACTTGTGTGGATTGCTTCATGTGGCTTGAAAGTTCTGTCAGAACTTTATTTGAACTTTATGGAACTTGAAAGTTCTGTCGGAACTTTATTTGAACTTTATGGAACTTGAAAGTTCTGTCGGGAATTTATTCGAACTTTATGGAACTTGAAAGTTCTGTCGGAATTTTATTTGAACTTTATGGAACTTGAAGGTTTGATCGGAACTTTATTTGTACTTTATGGAACTTGGAAGTGATTTTAATCATTGAATGCGGAGCTTTTGGTTAATTGGGATGCGTATAACGGCATTATAATGTATACACGATGTACATGTATTTTGGTTGTCTGGGGTATTGCATTTGGGGAATATTTAGCGATGAATGAAATTAAGTTAGTCTAAAATACTGTATCTAACGGTGAACTCGTTTTCTTCTCTGAAAATTTAAATTCATTTGATATCGTAGTTAACAAGTAACATTTTTTTTTTTTGATAATTACTTTATTTGTACAGACTCAATCGAATAAACTTTACAGAGCTATACATTACTAATGTCTTAAATCTAAAATTAAAGGTTAGTGAAAGAAAATTGTATGGATCGAGAGAG